ACTTGGTCGTCTTCTTATCTGGCTTTGCTTGTAATTGCTGTGACTTGTGCAAGAGGTTCTCCCGCTCCTCTCATCCTTGCTTTGGCTTCTGCTAGCCCTCTCATTTCTTTCAGTTTCTCTCTTGTATGTGCTCTGGTTTCTGCTTTTGGACTTTGTTTCATTCTCACAGGAGCTCCATTTGTTTTTCTCCCCAGAACTATCTTGCTTTAAAAGTCTATACTTCTCCCTATCTTTGTCCTTGTTACCGTGACTACCGGAGGGTTCTTCATAAAGTTTTTCCCTCTTAGTCTTTGCCTTCCCTTCTGAATCAGTGCTGCCGGCCTCTGAAAACTTGTCTTTTTTTCTTTTCTTAGAATACATCTTCTTTTGGAATGCTTTATCTTTGCTGTCAGTCTCACTGTCACTGCTGCTTACTGAAGTCTCACTGGAAGAGGAGGAGGAAGAGGAGCTGATCTTATGTTTCTTGTGTTTACTTTTGCTTTTCTTCCTTTGCTGCTTTTTCTTTTTTCTATCTTTCTTCTTCTTTTTCTTCTCCAGACGATCCAATTTCCTTTTATTTTGAAAACAAAAATCAAGCATTTAAAAGATAGTGGTGCTACATTTTTACTTTCTTCTTCTATGGTCACTAATTACAACAATCATATGCACTAAACATGCAACATTTTCTTACAAAGCATATTGAACTTTTTGTTTCAATAATGTATTTTTACGTTTTTAATTTCAAATTAAGTTATTTAAAATGTTGCTCCCCTTTAGCCCTCCCTCAGAACTACAATGAAATATTGTTTAATTAACCAATTTTAGGAAGAAGAGGGTAAGAAATGACAACCTGTGCCTTACAACCTGCGGTGCAACCAGTTTGTTTCTTAATTGAGTTAACTCTGTAGGTTTGATTCAGTAATAGAACAAGGAACATTTTCAAAGGCACAAATAGCTGTTAGATGCCCAACTCCCAATGTCCCTCAATGTAACATAAGAAATAACAACAACCATATTGGGTCAGACCAAAGGGTCATCTAACCCGGAATCCTGTTTTTTTGTCAGTGGCCAATGCCAGATGTCTCAAAGGGAATGAACAGGACAGGTAACCATCAAGTGATCAATCCCCTGTCACCCAGTCCCAGTTTCTGGAAAACAGAGGCTAGGGATACCATCCTTGCTCATCCTGGCTAATAACCACTGATAGATCTGTCATCCATGAACTTACTTGGTTATTTTTTGAACCCTGTTATATAGTCTTGTTAGGACCCTATCAGCTATATGTGCCTTTAAAAATCTCCCCCTGATCTTTACAGCTTTCTGGAGCTCATCTGAATATCATAAAACACAGGTGTAAAATGCTAGTCAACAATAAACTTGTCTATCAGGAAAACAAACACATTTCAACTGTTTTTGCCCAGTTTTGAAATTTTTATTTCTTGGTCACTCGTTTTATTAATTCTTAGCAATGAGTCAGCCACAACATTTTACATGCTACCTAAACTGCCTTCATTGGATCAGAGAAAACAAATCTTTAAACTAGAATGTTTAGTGGAAAAGCTTTTCCTTCCTTAAGGTGAATTATATTTTTTTGGCTCTCACACAGTGCTTTTATAACTATTTTAGGTTAATATATTTAAATATGAATGACATTTGTGTGTTATGTCAGCCAGTGATTCACAACTGGTTTAAAAGGACACAGGAAATTGGAGAAGAAATGTGAAACCTTCTTTCTCCTTAAGCATATGAAATCAACAGGGCAGCAGCACAGAAAAAACAAAAAACCCAAACTGGGGACTAGGAATGTTAAAATGTGTTTATTCAAGTACATGTAGAACTGCTGAAAATTTCAGCAGTTACATGGTTACGCAGAGGTGTGGGGGGAGATATAGGAGGCTCTCTGCCTGCACTGTTGCCTCTGTATCAGAGGCAGCAGCGCAGAGGGAGGGCACATGGCTCCATGGGAGCTGGTATGCAGAGGGAGCCGACTTAAAAGCTGGCTCTCCACGCGCACTGGTTCCCACCTGCCCCTCAACTGCACGTTGTTGCCTCTGATTCAGAGGCAGCAGCGTTGGGGGAGGGGAGCATGTTAACCAATGAGCCCAGACTCACTGGTTAACCGTGTACATGGTTACATGGGCTTCCAGTAGGAACTATAAAAATATTGTGAATTCTCTCTGCTGACTAATGCTAATCCTAGAGCTATGGTAAGCTGTTACACCACCAGTGATGATGGTGCACACAAGATAGGTCATGTTTTGCTCCCTTAGGAGCAAAAGTAGTACATAAAATTTTGCCAAATGCAAAATCAATAAGGGAAGACATTTAATTTTCAGTATTGGAAGAGGGCACTGTAAACAATGGAATGGAAAATATTTTAAAATAGCAATTGACGCTGTCCTCTTGGAGCAAAAGCACATACAAGGTTAGTGTGTGTATGTCACAGCATTCAAAATAAAAAATGAAATGAAACTGTAAACAAAGCTCTTAAAACTGGCTTACAAATGATGAATAAGCATGCCCCATAATACAAAGTGAATTCTGAACCATCTGTAATCAAGAGTAGATTGACCTAAATTGTTTTTTTTTCCACAGTAGATACAAAACTGTAGTTAAAAACTACTGACTATATATAACTAACCTCATACAAGTAGGTGCCATGCAACTGCAATAAAATTACCTCAGAAGTTTCTGTTTTTGTTTAGTTGACAGTGATTTTAAAAATTCAACTTCTGGGTCATCTTCTCCTTCACTTGCAACAAATTCCTATAAAGAAAAAAAGTAATAAAGTGTCATGTCCTTAAATAAAAATAAGGAGAACTTCAAATTCATTATTCTTGTATTAAAATATTATGAACATTAGAAGGCGTGTGAGAATTGGATTGTATGTATACAAACATATACATACACACTTTCTATAAAGCAACAATGGGAAGATAAGCATTTAGCTTGCTACAATGAGAGAATATATACTGGGTTTAAAAGGAGTATACATACTATAATGTCACCAAAAATTAAGTTATTTTGGAAATCTTTCCTGAGTTCTGTCTAGTGTAAGAAATAGGAGCATTGGTTGGTGGGGAAGATTGCAAGTTCCTCTGCACCACAAAGTCAGCCACAAGTCACTACATTAGCTTACTCATTGGAAAAATGGGTGTTACGCCCATCTCTCTCTCATGCTTAAATTATTGTCTGTGAAGTACTATAAAAGTGCAACATGTTGCAATTGTACCTACAGTAATAACAATAATAAAATCGGGTCAGATTTAAATGTAAGAATTTTCAGATCCTCTTCCTTTCAAATTACATGCTTCTGGAATACTTGATATCTCACTTCACATTTTTAATTTTAAC